TTCTTCAGACCAAGGTTCCCGGGGCTTCAGTTCTTTCTACCAAGCTTTCCGGCTTTTCTCATAGCCCACTGCCCCACAATAGATGTTGACTATAATGATACTGCTCCTTTGTAAAACAAAAGCAAGGACTTGTAGGACTATAATCACCAAGGTGTACAGAGGAGGTTCAAACCTAGATACCTCAAACATGAGAATAGCAAGAGTTGGCTAACTTCTTGCTCACAGTCTGGTGCCATGAAGCCAGCTGCCCCACTGAAAATCCTAGTAAGAATTTTCTACCCTGACAGTTACTAGACTTCACTTTTTGTTTGACCTTATAAGGTCTCCCCTCCCCCACGCTGCTCCCTAACCCCACCGCCCCTGAGTTTGCAGGAAGCATCTTCCAACACCCCTGTCCTGGCCAATGTTGCACAGCTACACAAACTTTGCCCCAGAGACCCTGGCCACCTCTCCCAGGGCATAAATGCTTTCTCCCCGCTCCCCCACCCCAGTAAAGAACCTATTTTTCAAAGCTGTTCGCAGGTGTGTGTTCTTTAACTGAACACTCACCACTGACCAAGATCTTGCCTGCTCCCACCTGTCCTAGGTGAACGTCCCTCCTTCCAGTTCAACCTGGTACACTATGGGCCTGGCTAGTCAGAGGTGGGGTAGGTGGTGGTGGTGAAGAAGTGGACATGTGGCAGAACCTAGGTTTATATATTTAAACCACTTCTTTTGGATTCCCTAGTAGCAATTCTGAAAAGCTGGATCTAGGACAAATTGCTCATTTTCCACTTGAGTGATGTTATTTGTGCTTCTTTCTGAGTTCCTCACCCCCTTCCCCCTTTCCCAGTTACCAGCTGCCTTTTCCTGCTCCTGCATAGGATCTGCAGAGCAATTTGTAGAATTGGGTACTCTTACTCTGCTGCATGTTCATTAAAGTGTTTCATAATCAATCCGTTTCTTCACTATGCCTTAGATCTGAGATATGGGTGTTATGTAGTTTTCTATAACATTGACATGTCAATGAAGATAGGAAGTAAACAACTCAAAATTGCTTCTGGCAGTTCCTAAAACTGACCAGATTCACTAGGCCCCTCCCTCACCAATAAGCAATAAATACTGCTAAGATTCATTTCAGAACAGTTGAGCTGCTTAGAAGAGGCTCAGACTAAGCCTCTGGGAGAGGCAAAGACAAGTATCCTGAGAAGAGCCAAGAGCAGCCAAAGTGTAGCAGTTGGCCTATACCAATATAAAATTGTTTGTCTTGTTGATGTCCTTCTGTCTAAAAGTAGATTCAGTAATTGACCAGTTTATCCTATTATTCCTGTATCTCCCCTTATATCCTAGATAATAAATAGAATCTCCTCTTTGTATGTTTTCAGGAGTGATTTGTAATCCCCAACAAGGCAAAATTCTCTTTCCTTCACTAAACATTTTTTCTAAAGGTATCTCCATTTGAACCAGCCAGCAAAATATCATCCATATAATGGTAAATTATGGATTGAGGAAATTGTTTACGAATTAGTTGTAAAGGCAGTTGTACAAAATTTGACATAAGGTCGGGCTTATTCAATATCCCTTGTGGTAATACTTTCCAATAATATCTCTTTATTTAACAACGATTATTATTTGTAGGTATTAAGGAAGCAAATTTTTCTCTATCTTGTTCTTGTAAAAGAACAGTGAAAACACAATCTCTTAAATCAATCACTATAATAGGCCATGCCTTAGGTAACAATGAAGACAATGGGATTCCATGCTTTAAAGAGCCCGTTGGCTGAATAATTCTACTGATTGCTCTCAGATCTGTCAACGTCATCCATTTGCCAGATTTCTTTTTAATGACAAATACATGAGAATCCCAAGGGCTGGTGGGCTCCAAGGGTGGTGTTGAGCCTCTAGCAGTTCTTGCACTAGCTGTTCTCATGCTGGCAATTGTTCTTTGTCATAGGCCATTGTTCTATCCAAACAGGTTGGTCAGTCAACCACCTAAGTGAAAGGGTTGTTTGTGCTTTATTAGCAGTGTCTCCCCTGTTTAAAGTTGAAGAGCCAGGCTCTGCTGTGTCCTGTTTATGGACAACTTGGACAGCCTGTGACTGTTCTTGATACGATTTTAAAATACCTTTATCAGGAACAACCCTTATTTTATAGCTTGTCCCTTAAGTTGGAGGAATGATAATCTGCACCTCTCGTTGTTGCAATAGATCTCTTCCCCATAAATTTATGGCTACATCAGCCAAATATGGCATTAATTTTCTCAGGCCTTAAACATTTAAGTCATTTTACATTTTTCTTTATCTGAGAAAAACTTCCAAACCCTAGAAATTGTATATCTACCTTCTAAAGAGGCTAATTTTGAGGCCAAGATTTTGGTGATATTATTGTTACTTCTGCTCCAGTGTTACCAAATCTTCAATTTCATTATTTATAAACATCTTTAGTTTTGGCCTCTTGATATTTTAGAGAAGTTTGCCAAAACACTTGTTTCTTGGTGTCCCCTGAGCTTTGTATTTTATCTATTGAATCTTTGCTGACCTTGAGATCTGGATTAATGTTTATATCCAGAGCAGCACTGTTTAATTGTTCTGTGGATGAGTATTTCCAATGCTGACTTGAAAGATCTGACTTTAATACTGAGGCCTGCAAGAACCGCTCCCTTCTGGGAGTTTCCTGACAAGAGGTCACATTGTTTCCCCTTGTTTATCTACATTCATTAGTCCAGTGTTGGCCTCTGCCACGCCTTTCGCTTACTCCAGAAGGCTGAGGCCTTCTTCTGGAACCATTATGGCTCTGTTTACAATTTTTTTCTTTTTCTTTTCTTTTTTCCTTTTTTATTTTTATTTTTTTTTTATTTTCAAGACAGGGTTTCTCTGTGTAGCCCTGGCTGTCCTGGAACTCACTCTGTAAACCAGACAATCCTTTTTTAAATGACTTTGCTCACCACAATTAAAATATTTGGCATTTTGTAATTTTCCAAAACCTTTTTTGATCACTTGTCCTAATAAAATCATATTATATGAATGATATCCAAATGCCAACTGTATTTCTAATTCATTCTTCTATTGGTGCTGATCTTGCCTTTTATATTCAGAATTAGCATTTTCAAAAGCTAAAGATTCAAGCTGGGCGTTGGTGGCGCATGTCTTTAATCCCAGCACTTGGGAGGCAGAGGCCAGCCTGGTCTACAGAGTGAGTTCCAGGACAGCCACGGGTACACAGAGAAACCCTGTCTCGAAAAACAAAACAAAACAAAACAAAACAAAAGCTAAAGATACAATTAGTGCTTTCTTAGCATGTGGGTCTGATACACTTCTTTGTATAGCTGAAGTCAATTTTGTAAAAACTCAGTGAATGTATCTTTTGGTCCTTGCATTATCTAAGTAAATGGTACAAGTCCTTTTCCTGTTTCTTCAACCTTGTCCCAAGCATTTAAAGCTGCCATGTGACATAATGCCAAAGCTGTTTCATCATATACAACTTGCATCTGGGCTTCTATGTATAGTAGCTGATCTTGAGAAATATTAATACCTCTAGCACTTTTCTCTTTTCTATCTCCTTAGTCTCTTCTGTCTACCATGAACATACTGTAATTGTGCACCAGGCCCTAATATTGCTCCTCCAATGGCTAGACTCTGCCCATAGAATACTTTAACTGCCATAACAGCTGGATCCAATCCCTCTAGACACAGGCAACCAAACTCCACTCTACAGAATAAAAAGCCCAAGCTCAGGACTTGAAAACCCATCAATTCCCACCTTGGAAATCTCTATCCTGGAAAGCTCCTCCTCCAAGAAATCCTATATAAACCCTGTCTTTGGCTCAGTTCTTTGCTGCTTCTTGCCTGGGTTGAGACAGCCACCTTCCTGGATTTTTCCTTCACAATAAATTTGCTTTTGTGAGGTTTGTTGTGTGTTGATATGACTTTGTGGTATTCCTTGGCTCCAGACTGACAGGATACCTTCCCCTTTATAGCTGTAACACTTGCATGGGGGGTGGGGGGAAGCCTTTCTCCTCAGAGCTGTAACATTTACAAACTCTACTTTTAAAATTTTTGTTGCTGGGCGTGGTGGCGCATGCCTTTAATCCCAGCACTTGGGAGGCAGAGACAGGCGGATTTCTGAGTTCGAGGCTAGCCTGGTCTACAGAGTGAGTTCCAGGACAGCCAGGGCTACACAGAGAAACCCTGTCTCGAAAAACCAAAAAAAAAAAAAAATTTTTTTTTGTTAGGTTTGACAAAAGCAGCCCTACTTTCCATCAGATGTAACATTGTAGTCAAAATGACATAGGTGCTAATAAATGAACCAAAAGAAAACTATTTTGTTTTATAAAAATAGTCAAATGCTTGATGAAGAAGATAAAGAGCTTGAACCCAGTCTTCTGTTTTAATAAGACATCTGGTGCCTCACAGCAGACAAAACAAAAAAACAAACAAAAACAAGCAAGCAAGCAAACAAAAAACCAGGAATAACCAAGACTGAAACAGTGTAAGAAACAAGGTATCATAAATTATGTATTTAACAAGGTATTATAAATTATTTGAACCATGTTCAAATTATTTCAAGGGTAAAAAAAACCCCTGAAATTCTGAAAAATACCTTGCTAGCATTTATCTACTTTACCATTTTTTAAGCTATAGAGAATATAACACTAGTCAAATATGTCAAATAACAGATAATGGATTTATTTAAGAAATTTAACTCAGTCCACAGTTGCAGGTGGATATTTTAATTAGTTTTATACAAAGTAAATAACCTTAGAAATTCAATAAGGATATATAAGCTATCTTTGGGAAATAATTTATAGGTGCCCATTTATTTCTTCTTAAATGCATGTTCACACTCATGTACAATGTAAGCAACAATCAAACTTTCTTAGAGAAAAACAATCCTTCCAACATGGATGTTAGCCCCAAATGGCTGAACTGCCAGGAAGATTGTAGAATTTCAATCTAACAAAAGGCCTTCCACTAAAGAACAAAGGCATGCCATTGGTTCTTAAGAGTTAATCCAAGCCGGTGACCTGCCTGGGCGTAGGGAACAGAAAGTCGGAAGGGGTAAGAGGAGTTCAGTTCATCATGGGGCTGTTTGGAAAAACCAAGGAGAAGCCTCCCAAAGAGCTGTTTAATGAATGGTCACTGAAGATCAGAAAGGAAATGAGAGTTGTTGACAGGCAAATAAGAGATATCCAAAGAGAAGAAGAGAAAGTAAAACGGTCTGTGAAAGATGCAGCCAAGAAGGGCCAAAAGGAAGTCTGTGTGGTTCTGGCCAAGGAGCTGATCAGGTCAAGGAAGGCTGTGAGCAAGCTCTATGCATCCAAAGCACACATGAACTCTGTGCTCATGGGCATGAAGAATCAACTTGAGGTCCTAAGAGTAGCTGGTTCTCTGCAGAAGAGCACAGAAGTGATGAAGGCAATGCAGAGTCTTGTGAAGATCCCAGCAATCCAGGCAACCATTCGGGAGCTGTCCAAAGAGATGATGAAGGCTGGAATCACAGAGGAGATGTTAGAGGATACATTTGAAAGCATGGATGATCAAGAAGAAATGGAAGCAGCAGCAGAAATGGAGATTGACAGAATCCTCTTTGAAATCATAGCAGGAGCCTTGGGCAAAGCACCCAGTAAAGTAACTGATGCCCTTCCTGAGCCTGAACCTGCAGGAGCAGTGGCTGCCTCAGAAGAGGGAGAAGAGGAGGAGGATGAAGAGGACCTGGAAGCTATGCAGTCACAGATGGCCACACTCAGAATCTAGGGCCACCCAATTGGGATCTCAGATCTCTGGTATCCTCTTCTAGGTGTGTATATGGCCTCTGAGGAGTCACCATTTCCTGTGTCTCTTGCACTACACCTCTGTTGTGAAGCATTACATTTGGAGAGGGTTCTATGCTGGTATATCTTCACTGTCTGCAGAGGATTTAAGGATTGTTTTTATGAAGGTGGTGTAATCAAATGTATTATTTTCAGGAGCATAAATAGCAGCAGTATCTTCCTGGGGGAGGGCAAAGAAACCCATCTTCTCATGAAACAACTCTGAGAAGAGTAGATTGAATGCCAAGGACTTTATATTTGGTGTGTATGTGTAAAATACTATATAAGTGGATGTCAATAAACTTCTCCTTTAGCAAAAAAAAAAAGAGTTAATCCAAATGGGCATATTAATTCCTTGAACATGAAAATGTTCCTTAAGAAAGTTGTTTTAGGGAATTTAGAAAACATAAAACTCTACTTCAACATGTAGGTTAGCAGTGCTTTCTGGTCATTGGCTAATCTCATCACTTAGGAGTCTTCTCAACAATGGTACATTTGCCCATCACCCACTTTCACTCCCCAGGAGTGTCTTCTTTAACAAGGGTACCTGTGATCACTGCTCACTGTCACCCTTGAACACTTCATTTAACCTGTAATAAACTCTGCCCATCTTTTACAAATGCTATTTTGTTTTCTCTGAATTCATCTGATATCAATCTCAAGGATCAGGGAGCTTAAGGGGAGAAGTAAGATACTGGAACTATACTCTTCACAAAAGACAGCAGAGGAAATATAATGGAGTACAACTAGAGAAGACAGTAACAACTAACTGTAAGGATCTTTTACTCAAAGATAACAGGATACATATTCTTTGAGGAGTATATGGGACCTCCTCCAGAAGAAAAGACCATTGAGTAGGTTGCCACTGAAGTCCAAAGCTAGTTTAAAGAACAAATATCATTCAAAGTGTTTTTTTTTTCACCACATGGAACAAGGTAGTGGTAAAACTCTGGATGCTGGATATGGAGGAGCTGTCCTTAAGTCGTAGCATTAGGTGAATTTAAGGCCAGCCTGATCAACGTAACAAGTTGTAGGCCAGCAAGAGCTGCATAGTCAGACCTATCCTCCTGCCCCTGGTTCCCTCCCCCCAGTCAACAGGCACACTTAAAATAAAAGAACAACGGGAGCTAGCTGACCACCACTATTCAGTGCTCTCTGCATCTTGAGTGCAGATGTGTATGACCAGCCATCCCAAGCTCCCACAATCATAACCATCCACTCTCCATGATGAACGGCACCCCCAAGCTATCAGCCAAAAACAAGACCTTCCTTTCATAAATTGCTTTTGTCAGGAATTGTCGCAACAATGACAAAAGTAACTAGTACAACAACATCTACTACAAAGGACTCCACATTAAAAACTGAATTAGCAACAGTTTGTAATAATTCAGAAAAAAAAAACCACACATTTAACACTTTAATGGGGTAACTAATTGCTCACTAACATAAGCATAAATGAGTATTTTAGGGTAGAGGTGATAAAATCTATGCTTCTCTCAATTCGTTGTCTCAAATAATGAATAGCTCTTCTCACTTACAGCTCACAAGGACATCTGGGGAATCATCTGACTTCAGCCCTAAGTACATGTAAATTCAGAAGCATAACATGTTAATCTGTTGCCACTCTTAGAAGTAATGCCCATTACTTACATATATATCCCCATAGACAAGGTTCGGGGCCATGGTCTCACCTATGTAGTAGGAAACTGGGGTATATGGGCTGAGTGTCTGTCCAAGAGAAAAAGAGTAGGTTTGCGGGAACATGCAACCCATGTCTCTTATGCAGGATTTGTTTAGGTTTGCTGAGGAAGCTTCCCTACATTCAAAGGGTTCCTTTCCTGTATGTTCTACTTGCTGATGTCTCACTTATAACTGAAAGGTTTCCTACACTTTGACTTCACGTGCTTTCCACTTTGTGTTGACTTCCAATGCCTACTGAGGTGTGACCTTGGCAAAACACTTTTCTACATTTATTACATTCCAAGAGCTTCTCTGCTGTACGGGTTCTCTGATGTCCAGTGAGGTCTGACCACTTGTAGAAAGATTTCCCACATTCATGACATTCATGACGACTGGTTGAATGACTTCCCACATTTGTTACATTCATAAGATTTCTCTCCTGTGTGCATTCTCTGATGCCTCCTAAGATGTGACTTTTGACTAAAAGATTTCCTACACTCGTTACATTTATAGGGTTTTTCTCCTATGTAAATTCTCTGATGAATAGTGAGGACTGCAGAAAAATTTCCTACATTCATTACATTTATGGAGTTTCTCTCCTGTGTGAATTCTAGGTTGAAAAGTGAAGTTTGACTTCTGGAAGGAAGATTTTTGTACAATGTTTATCCTCATTGAGCTTTTCTTCAGTATGTTTCCTCTGAGTTTTTGTTAGGTTTGCTTTTATTAATGAAGGATTTCTCACAATGACTACAGATACCACAGTTATCTCTTAGGTGTACTTCCTGGTACTTAGTGAGCACAGACCTCATATAAAATGTGTTCCCACGTACATTACATTTGAAAGTTTTCTTCTCTGCCTGACACAGCTTTTGGACAACTGCTGAGTTGTTAGAGGTTTCCTCAGATTCACTATATTTCCATGAGGGCTCACACTCTTATGCACAAAGAGGGTATCTGTGTTGAAAGTCGTCCCTTTCCCACTATATTCAGAACCTTTCTGGCTACTCTGACTTTGAAGATATTTACTAAGAATCAGGATGTCTGAATAATTTCCCACAGATGTGACAGGAACCCAGTTTCCCTTTGGTAAATATCTCAGGCACATCAGAGACAAGCATGTTCTGTTATGCAATAAACTACTCAGTCTTCATTTGTAAGTGGTCCTCAGTATTCATCATCAGCTTTGAAATGTGGTCCAAGCTCAAATTAAATTCACCCAGATGCAGTTCTCTCCTCCATTGCATGGCTGTCTGGACTTTTCTGGCTCGTCTACTTTCTGGACACCTAAAATTATTAACAACAAAACAGCCACACACATGAACCATATCTGTTCATGAACCATACTCAGCCTTGAACCATACCTACCCATAAACACGTCCAAGCATCTGTGATGGAATGCAAATAAAGGTAAAGAAGTTTTCCCTGGTTGCTAAAGATTTTAAGTCTCAAGAGTAGATATTGACTGATGCCTTTTATTTCAAATAAGCTAATGTAACAATATTGATAGATTTTATGATGTTAAGTCTCTGTTTCTTGCTGGGCGGTGGTGGCACACACCTTTAATCCCAGCACTTGGGAGGCAGAGGCAGGCGGATTTCTGAGTTCAAGAGTTCGAGGCTAGCCTGGTCTACAGAGTGAGTTCCAGGACAGCCAGGGCTACACAGAGAAACCCTGTCTCGAAACAAACAAACAAACAAACAAACAAACAAACAAACAAACGTCTCTGTTTCTTTAAAGGTTTTTTTGTTTTGTTTTGATTTTTCTCTTTTAATAACTATGGAAACATTTAGTCAAAACAATTGCTATATCACTATAGGTTTAACCCAAGGACTTTCACCTGCTTTTTCTTTATTCTTTTTCTTTATTTTACCCCCTTAATAACTGCTTGTCTTCTGATTCTTTATCTTGGGGAAAAAGTGGCTTTTCCCAGGATTACAGACTACCAGACCATTTTCTATTACCTAAGCAAAATGATTTTTTTGGGGGGGTGGATGGTAAAGAATTATACCTACATTTCTTTAGTCCTCACTTGTTCCTAGGAATGGCTACAAGCATCTATTGGTATTTCCAAGAATCTTCTTCCAAATTATAAACAAAGACCCAGTTCTCAGAACAAAGTGAAATCTGTATTGAAGGAAATTATTTTCCTGGGGGTTTGCTATGTCTCCCTTTTTAAAAATTTTTATTTATTTATTTTTATTTTATGCACATGAGTACACCACCATTGCTCTCTTCAGACACACCAAAGGAGGGCACCAGACCCCATTACAGATGGTTGTGAGCCACCATGTGGTTGCTGGGAATTGAACTCAGGACCTCTGGAAGAACAGTTGGTGTTCTTAACCACTGAGCCATCTCTCCAGCCTGCTATGTCCCCTTTTTACTCCTAAATATCTATTGGAGGTTTCTGCCCTACACAGCACATAAGTTATGTGTAGATTTGAAAAGGATAGCTCCCTTTACACTGTACTTTTTCATTCTTGCCTTTTTTTTTTTAAATGAGTACACCGTAGCTGTCTTTAGACACACCAGAAAAGGACATCGGTTTCCAAGTAAATGACAGAGACACTGCAATTTATTAATAAGCTGTAGGCACTAGGCTGGGCAGGTTCTGTGCTGTGCTAATCCCTTAATCCATCAAAACCCCACATAAATGCCCATCCCTTGACAATCTGATGTCTCCCGGATGCTTCTGCTCCATCAGTGTGTCCTCAGAGTAAATCTCTTTCGTCCACGTGCTCCTGAGCCATCCCATCTTCTCTTCCATTCACCATGTATGTGAGTTCTGTGTGTTTAAAGTCCAGTCTTCTTGCTTTCAGGGCAAGAGCTTTTGCCACTGAGACATCCCCCTACCCAGTCCCTTTCCCATTTCCTTTAGACTTGTAGACCCCAGTTACTCATTGACTTTTAGATTTTTATCTTGCTCAGTTTCTCTAACTTTTCAGTTGCACCTGCTCTCTATTCTTAAGTAGTTATTTTTTTTAGCATTTATTAGTAATACATTGGATATTTTTTAGTGCTTGTTAATTGACTAATTAATTAGTATTGATGTTTTGTGGGTGTGCAGATAACAATATAAATCAAACAAATGATTCTATAAAAAACCTAGCATTCATAAAGAACAAAGTTATGTAATTGTGTGAAAAAAGTGACACAGAACGTTTTACTAAGATATAAAATAAAAATGGGGTTATTTTAGGAAGAACCCTAAGTGGAGGCAGCTTTAGAGAGGAGAGATGATCGTTTACTTTTAGATAGCTTGATTTTTGAAGTATAATTCTCCAAAGTGGACAAAATAAATATATAGTTATATAGAGAGAATAGACTTTACATAACTGTTGGCTATGTGATTTGGAAATCAGTAGGTGAAAGCTAGGTGGTGGTGGCCCACACCTTTAATCCCAGCACTCAGGAGGCAGTCTGGTCTATAGAAGAAGTTCAGGACAGCCATGGCTACATAAAGAAAACCTGTCTCAAATAGGGGGTCAGGAGGTAGAGGAAACTGGTATTGAAAATCTAAAAAAAGGTCACCTAGGGATCTGATGAGAATTGAGAAAGGAGATATAGGAATAAAACTTATGTATCCTGGCATCAGAAGTCCTGATGCTGGGGAGTAAGAATATGGTCTT